GAAATTGTGCCTGTCAGAAAGACAGGGACCTGAATTTCCCTTATATTGGAGAAACCACCTTTAAGCTAAATGTACTTTACACTGCTCAATGACGAAAGAAATGCACATCTTCCATTGGGACATTTGGAAGCCCTTATCTGCTATATTTATTTTCATATCCATAATATAAACAGAGTATTTTCTAAAGAATTAATAAATTTTATTTATAATTTGACATTTTTTGTTACTATAAACATGATATTTAGTGAATATACATGTCTAAGTAGACATCCCTATATATCGGTTTTCTTCTGTATTTTTTTTAAGCTGTCAGGGATGATTTTCAAAGAGGAGACAACCAAATATGCAAGTGCATGTATACACATGTAATTTTAAAATTCAATCTTTCTGTTATCAGACATGTTGAAATTTCTATTTTTCAAAATCTTGTCATTTCACAAAGTAATGCAATACTTCACAAACTTATTTGCAATCAAAGCATTTTAAAGAAATTCAGAAAACGGCACAAATATATGACAGGCGTATTGCTGTCAGAACTAATTAAATCACATCTGCCTTGCATTTAAATGTAACTGGATAAACTAGGAATATTTAAAAAAATATTATTATTAACCAACACAAGGTGAAAGAGCCACTCAAGATAGAAAACCACTGAATGAGGATGTTGTAAGCGTGTTAGAGTAATAAGATGTGCATATTATGAAAATATGTAGTACAGCTAATGATTGACCCTATATTTAGACAATTAAATAAACAGATACAAACAAGACACATCAACATGGGGATTAACAACTCACTGGGTGTTCCAAATTTGTGGCCTTGTGCCATATATATATATATATATATATATATATATATAAAACAAAAAAAATTGAATATATATATATATATATATATAAATAAAAAAAAAACATATATACACACATACATGAAAACATCAAACTCTCTCTCTCTATATATATATATATATATATATATATATATATACACACACACACATATATGTATATATACACACATTTATAGGCACACAATATTACAGTTGAGTTGTCTAGATGTAATCATAAATTCTATGCTAAGTTTCTTTACTTGCACTTGTTGCTTGTGGTTCCATGCTTTCCAGCTGACTTTAATTGTCACAAAATTTAAATGCAATGTCAAACACTATCAACTGTCCTCCTGATTACTCTTCTACTGTATTCACTCATTAGTGGTGTTTCAGTTTCCTAATTCTTCCACACCCAGTCTTTGTGTTTCAGTGTTTTATGCTAACAGTTTCTTTTCTTGCACTTCTTGCTTGTGGAACTCCCTTCTAGCTCCATGCTTTCCAGTCAACTTTAATCTTCAAAGATTTAAATGCAATTTCAATCAATATCTACTGTCCTCTTGATTACTCTTCTATTGTTCTCACTACTTAGTATTATTTCTGTTTTCTAACTGTTCTATGCCCAGTAACCCCTTGTGGCTTTAGTGTTTTGTTTGGAGTGAATTTAATTAAAAAAGAACAAATATATTTTCAATCATTGCTCTTTCAAAAATTTTCAATTTAAAAAAAAATATTTTCTTAATATTTTTGACTGATAAACATTACACAAGTGTTGAGATTGGACTTCAAATAGTTCCTAAACTTCTGTTGATGTCCAACGGTGATTGTATATATAAGCATGCACAATGGATTGTTTAAAAAAGTCATAATCATCAATCACAATAAGAATATTAAAAGAGTTTCTTTATTAAGAATTCTAAGTTTGTATAGCAACATTCAGATTTGGGCCAATCCAAGTGAAAAAAAAACAATCTTCTTAAAATTTCTAAAATAGCCATCAAAGAAAGTCACCAATTAGATAATTTTGTCTTCAAATAAAAACATTTAACCAATTCTGATTCATTCAGATTCTAGTGATTGAACCTTTCCCTTAAGCTCCATCTCCATTTTTATTTTGCAAGTTCTTATTTAATGAGTTCAAGTTCCTTTCTCCTTATCCTCTAACCTAAGGAACTAAAGTTTTGTTTTCTTTATCCTGTAATTTAAGGAAGTCAATTTTTCTATCTTGTAACCTATAGAGGTTGAGTTCATTTTCTTTATCTAGTCTCTCTATTACTATTTCTAATGACTACTAAAGTGTCCTTTTTTTTGCAACCAGTTCTGGGATCTTCTCTCTCTGGTTCAAAGATTAGAGACATGATAGAAGTTTATTGTTTTAACGCCTTAGTTTGGAACAATTCTGGATTCACAAGATCTTAAGTACTCCTTTTGTCATAATATGAATTCTACATGCAAGTAATTTACTATCTTTGTCCTATGATTTTAATGTATTTGTTAAGAAGGTTAGCAAAGAAATGGTAGTCATAAAATTCTTTAACATCATTTTAGGTTAGGTTACATTTTATAAACTGTCAAGAAATGGTTTATCACTTTACTATCCAATGATTATATAATAATTATAATGCCACTGTATTTTTTTTTATAATAAACACAAATTCTTTGGACTTATTTTGAAAGGAGAAAAACACTTTTTTGAACAATTTGTTAAAATAAATAAGAGAGAAAAAAAACCCAAAAAACAAGAAAACATTGACTTTTCGGGGGACCTTTGGTAAATCATCAAGATTGAGAATAACCTGCATTACACAATGAAGGAACTGGCAGAAACATTAAATTTAATAAAATTTACCATCCATGAGCACCTAGTAAAGTTTGAGTATTCAAATCACTACAATGTGTGTGTATATATAGAGAGTGTGTGTGTATATATATATATATATAGAGTGTGTGTGTGTGTGTGTGTGTGTGTGTGTGTGTGTGTGTGTGTGTGTGCATGCGATGAGTAAATTGTCACCATTTCATGTTTTTGATTTTGTTGACTGCACAGTATAGTAGGGTCAGTTGGGCGCAGTCTGTGAGAAAAAGAGCTCCATGATGCTATTCAGTCTGCCAGAAATTTGGAAATGGTATGCTGTACTGCTTGGCATTCACACCGGAAGCTCCAACACAAACATTTCAGAGTGTTTGAGTGTCAATCTGAGAAGAGTGCAGAGGATTTAGAAAGAGTTGGATGGTGATTATGAAATTTTTTGGAGTGACCACTAGTGATGGCAATGTTATGTCCCCATTCATCTTCCAACAGGGTGTCTGACAACACAGAGGCCTACATCAAGTGCCTTGAGGAGGTAGTGCTGCCCTGGATCAAGAGGGTGGCTGCTGGAGACCCTATATGTGGCAACAGGACTGCACCATGCCACACAAGCAGGTGAACCCAGTCATGGCTGTCAGCCAATTTCTGCGACCACATCACTCCCTACATCTAGTCATCTAACTCCCCAGATTACAACCCCCTTGATTATTATGCATGAGGAGCAGTTGAATGAGAGACCAACAAAACTTCTTGTAACACCAAAGATGAACTGAAGGCAAGGATTATGGCAGCATTCATCAACTTAAACAAGGTGTCCATCCAGAAGAGTTGCAGGAGATTTTGAAGTTGTCTGGAAGCAATGGTGATTTTATTGAATAAATTTACTCTTTCGTATTTAAAGATAGTTTTGTGTGATTTTGCTAAATATATCTGTTAAAATGAGATGTCAGTATACATGCGTGTTCATATATAAAATCTTTAATTTCTTTTATTACAAGATTTGAGGAACATTATTTTCTTTATTGCTCATTTTTGTCATTTCCACAACAACAAAGACAAATAGCACATCCTCAGCCATGTTAAATGCATTAACATCTATTTTCCTTTGAAATAATGACGTGCATTATATAATTCAAACAAGGATTTCAATTAAACTTTAACCCACTAAAAAGACAAATGGAAAAAGTTATTTCTATATTCCTAAAATTTCCTATCACTAAAGTGCGCATAGATAAGGATCATAAAGGATCACACACAAAGGGGATGTAATTGACTTAGTAAAAAGTTAAAAAGTATTTTGTATTCCAGTTGAATTATTTAATTCCTGAGAAGAATGTAAAACTCTTCATATTACCCTGGAGGTCATTAGTTTGATTAAATGTTTAGAATCATATCAACCTCTATGGGTTATTTAATGTCAAAATGTAAATATTTTATATACAATTTTATGGCTTCAGCCACTTATATTTTGAACATAGTTTTTATTTTTTTTGATATATTGTTTGTACATGATAAAATATATTGTTGGTAAATTTTAAAAATGTATTACTGGTAATTCTATTATAAAATATATTGTTGGTCATTTTGCTATAAAAACATATTATTGGTAATTTTTTTTTTTTTTTGATAAAAATGTATTGCTAGTATTTTTACCATAAAACTGTATTTTTATACTTCCCTAGTGTTTTGAATTTTGTTTGGAGGGTTCATTATTTGCCCATAGCTGGAACCCTAACAGGTGGTATCAGCCTGTGTCAGGTTGGACTTGGGGACAACAACAAAGAGGTGGTTATATGATCCTCAACACCTACAATCTAGCAATTAGAAGCCTTGTTGTCAGATGTAGTTTATCATCATACCTAACACTGAAACTGATCTTTCTCTCTCTCTCACAACGTGTGTGTGTGTGTGTATATATATATATATATATATATATATATATATATATATATATATGAAAGATAAAATAAAGTTTTCCCTTAAAAAATAAATTATTGTAAACAAACTTTTGGAGATATGCATCAAGTGAACCATCACATTCAAGAAATTTTGCTATTATAATAAAATCAGATAGAAAGATCATTTTTAATGATTCGTTTTCTACAGATTACCAACCCTTTACAGGGTTATTTCTAAGATTTCTAGATTGTAAGAATTTTTTTTTTTTTTTTTTTTGAGATAATGATTTAGTGATATAAATCTTACTAATTAACTCATAGTTCAGGGGGAGAAGAAGTGGATTCATACCTTTCCCAAAGGTATTTGTGCATAAGCGAATATAACGAATCCAACTGGAATAGAAACTCTGCTCTCCTATTAACAATTCCAAGCCATTATCTATTACACTGCCTGCTCATCCAAGCTTATAGCACCAGGTATTTCCAAGTGGTCATCCATCTACATACTGATCAGGCTCGATGTTGCTTAACTTCAGTGAACGTATGGGAACTGATGTGGCCATAAGCCCAGATGGAAAAGAATTTAAGCTACTTCAACTAATTTTAAAGAATTTGAGAAACACTGACAAGTATAGAAAAGTTTTTTTTTTAAAATTTACATGACACATCTTCATTATTCTTCTACATTCCATCTTGTTTTTAATACAGTACTATGGATTAATGAACTATTCAGTCACTAGAATAAACAGCATGAACTTGAAAAACAAATACACATTGAAAGCTGTTTTTTCATAAACCTTACCATAGCAATTTTGACAATAGAAGTTTCAATATAGAAATTCTGCCATCTTCTCTTTACTGATGCTCTGTGCCATTTCTCTCCATAGGTTTTGGATATAATTTTTTTTTTTTTTTTAGATGAAGTATTTTTGACTATTATTATTTATTTCTACATTTATTCCATATTAATGTTACTTTTTATAACAAAATTCTTGTTAACTACAGCAAATAGGGTGAAATTAGAAAGTAGATTCCTATCAAACATGATTTTACATGCACAATTTCAGAGCCAAATTTTCAGGGATATTGCTTTAATGATGTGTCTACACAAACCTCAATGATTAGGTCAAGCATGAATCTGTAGTCATAAAGTTATTGAATTTCCTACAAAAACAAGACTAAAAATAGTGGTAAATAGCTTTATTTACTGTACTCTTCAAATGGTAGATTATTTTTCAGAGTCTCAGTCACTTAGCACAAAAGAACGAGATTCAACTCTCTTAGCTGCCAAACACTTACTCTATCACTTCGGCTAAACCTGCAAATGCCTGTTTAGGAAATTGTACATGAAAAACAGTTTGGAGTTGTCACAAGATAATTGCTAAATTGTGTTCAGTGTTGTCTGCTGGAAGGAACACAACATAAAAATAAATCTTACCTGTTAATTTGGCAATGTTCTATAATAAGAGAGAGAAAAAAAATGGAACATCAGAGCATGCAGTCATGACAGTATCAAATTTGGTAATCTAAAATTAAGTTTTTGATCTAATCTTCAAGTTCTGCATTCAACCTAACCGAAGTATCCAAGTCAAGTATTCATAAAAATTTAAAAGAATTTTTTTGTACAGGTTTTTTTTTTTTTTTTGAGTAGCTGAAACAAAATAGAAACAATTACTTTTAAGTAAACACTTCACTGTGTGGGTAATGTAAGGGATATTGGCATGGAAGGTACAAACAACAAGCCTAGTATGTTGTGCTCACTTTTGCACTAAAGCCTTGGGATAAACCCTGTCCATTTTCTCCCTACCATCTGGCAGCTAAATAGCAGATTGGGCTCTTTAGCCTTGGGTAGCAACTGGTCTAAGAGAAGAAAAACTGAATTTCAAACTATGGAGAAGGCAAAAGGAAACTATGCCACTATCTTTCTCAAGTTATGGTAATTTATAAATAAAGAAAAAGAATCTGTAGAGAGAGTCATGATCATCGATGTCATGATGGGATATCGCATTAAAAATAAAAAAAAACAGAGAATTCTGAATGAGCAAAAGAATTCTTCCAATTTATATCCTAATAGATTCATTTTATTGATATAACCAATTATTTTCTTTTTTTTGTTGTTTATACATATTTAACATTACAATATCAATAAAATTCATACTTATTGTTGTATCTTTAAAGAGGTTACAAACAAACAAAGGTGGTAAAAAGGTAAAAGGAACAGCAATACAGGCATAGATGGAAGAAAGAGAGGTTTATTTTAAAATAATACACTACTGAAAGACAGGAAATCTGTTAGCAGGCTAGTAATTCCCAAAGCAAGTTTGCCAGGTATATCCTATGCTTACTCTCTCTCTCTCTATATATATATATATATATATATATATATATAGAGAGAGAGAGAGAGAGAGAGAGAGACATAATCAATCCACATAGGCGATAGGGAGCGTGGGATATTCCATTACAACACCTCCACCTGAGCTAATTTTTCCATGAAATTTTGCTCAATACCTCTTCTTTTTGGGGTCAGGACACAGTTGTTTGACTTTTTTCCTCTTCATAGTACTTCTCCGTCTCACCAGTGCAGCTCCCTGAAAACCACGAATGCCTCAAATCTAACCAGCACAAAACTTATGCACTTGGTAAAAGCAGGAATGAATGAAACAAGTGATGAATTGAGCTCAGTAGTGTGCAGAATTTGGGGGGGGGGGCAAGGTACAACAGCCCCAGGCATCCATACTTGAAGAGCATCCAATCAAAGAGTGAAATAAAAATTTACTTTATATTATAGTTTGAATAAGGTGTTTATTTCAGGTCTCATCTGTTTTTACATATTTAAAATGTTTTCCTTTCTCATATTTCTCAGTACCTACTTGAGGTCTTAGGAACATACAATCAAGAAGTTGACCCTTGAGCATCACCAAACCTCTGCACATCACTGATTGTGCTCCATTTGAACCGACTTTCTTGTGAGTAGTCAAATTTAACCCATTTTCTTTAAAAAGTAGCAAAATTCAAAATTTAGTAATGCCGGGCTTTGAAATATAGCAATCCTGGATAGAAAAAAAATGTACGAGTATAGGCTGGTTGCTAGAGGGTAAAAAATGCACAAACTTAGCTTGAAATCAAAGTTTTCCTTGCATGTTTTGTAACAAACATCACAGCCCCATTCATGACAGTATAAAAAATATACACAACTAACATCTAGTGCTTAGATTCAGGTATCATTAACATCAGAATAGTGATGTTCATTATCATAAAAAGCAGGTAAGGAAATAATCTAAATTAAATACAGTGGTTTATTTTGGTGATTAGTCAACTTGTAAAAATCTGTGATACTCATAGGGTAAAATGTTATCAGGTACCAAATATGACTTATATAGTTTATATATAGTAGAAATTAAGGAAATAAAACTTATTTAAATATGGTTCATCCTGCCTAAAATATACATATACATATAACCGGATATTTTGAGAATGCAAAGTAAAAATATAAGCCAGTTTGGTTTAATTTTTGACAAACACTAGTCATGTACTAAAATAATTTGCATATTGTCATAGAATCTTCAACAGTGAGACAATATTAAAACAAAGATTACAAAAATGAATCTAATTATTATTTGACTAATAAAAATGTTTACTTGATAAGTATTTCTATGTTTCTTCACAAAATCAACCATACAACTTTTTTAGTTATTAAGGATTATCTTTCAGCATTTTTGACTTGCTTTACAACATAAAAAGGAGCATTTGTAATAATGCAGTGATCAGAATATTAATCTCTTAAATTCTTTATACTGACCATTTCCCTGCTACACTTTATAAATTTGGCACAAGAGTGCTGGGGAGTGACAGTTTGATCTGAGAAAGAATGCACAGAAACTGCACTCTGATCCTAGGCGACATTATCTTAAGCAGAAGAACTGGGGAATGACATTTTGAACTTAGGCAGGAAGCACCAATCCATACATAAATAATCCCATAATCTTTTAATGCTGCTGCTAATAATGACATAACAACAGTAGTAGTAGTAACAACAATTGGATATCACTAGTAATACAAGTTCTAATTAGTGTGCCAAAGAAATGAGGGGGTCCATAATAAATGCGGAGGAGTTGCAGGAAAATGTGAATATCTAATAAATTGAGGTAGGGTAGAAAACAAAATGAAAAAAGTAAGTGGAGCCAATAAATGAAGTATTAAAAACAAATTTTTCAAACTATAAAGCCTTAAAGAAATAAAAATAAAAACAAATATCCATCAATGTCTAAACAAAATTGAAAATATTTCCATTTTTCAGTAATCTATTAAGTAAGGTGACTGAAAAGTCAAAAATGAATAAAGTATGGGTCCTAATAAGCTCTGGGGGATGGGGAGGGAGTGGAAAGGTTATTTAGCATAAAAAACTTGGTAATCCTTTATGTAATTAATATACATCTCTTATAAATTCTATGTAAAATTTAAGTTTTAAAGCAGAATTTAAAAAAAAAAAATCAATATTGTTTAATATTTGCAAGAAATTAATTTTCCAATGAATCTTATTCTTAAGTTAATAATTGAATAAGCTCCTTTCAAGTTCTATGACTATAAAATATCCATGGAAATTTCCCTATTGCCTTAACAAAATATTGCTATAACAATCATAAATATGAATGCAGGTCATTATTTAAAGAAGTAAAGGGATACAAATGAAGAGTTTCAAAACTGACAAGGTTTTCCATTTCACTGAAGCAGACAAACACAAAAGTGTTATTACCTCCTCTATCTTCACTTTCTCCCCCTCTTTCTCCCTGCTAAAACCAAAAGTACACTTGATATAGCTTTCCTTCTGTCTATCCTTGCAATCAAACAGAAATGACCCATTATTTGAGGTAAAATCAGTGTGTAACATAAGTGCTAAGGAACAAGCAGAATAATATGATAATTAAAAAACCAAGTAAAATAAATGGTCAAAGATTTGTTTCTCACATCACTACAAAATAAAGGTGTATAAAAAAGTAGGTTTAAAAAAAAAAAAAAACCCTTGCTAGTTAAGGTGATAATGAAGTCTTAACAGTATTTGCACTAACTTCTCTTAACGCTTAACTTGATGAATAAGTTGAAATTCAAACAAAGAGAAAAAACATCTTAAAGGAATTTAAAAAAAAAAAAAAAAAAAAAAGGACAGCTGCCTGAAAATAACTACCAATGGATGAATGACTGAACAACAGCCTGAGGGAGCAGATACCTTATTACTGATAGTCATCAGGTGCGGTAGATGGTAGCTACAATTCTAGAAAAGTGAAAGGCAGACTGATCTATTCACAGGTGATAATGATTATAGCACTAATAATAAAAATAGTAGTAATATCAGTAAGAGTAGTAGTAGTGATACTGTCCACTGCATTAGTTGTGGTTTACTGCTAACAGAGATGCCTCATCAGTGTTATAAATCATCTTGAGGCAGAGCAGTGGTTGTCTTTTGTATCAAAGGCAGTGTTGGTGAATTTGGTCTTGTAAGGGTCAAGGTGTAATCCACCTGCATAGACAAGCAAGAGATAGAACAGATGGCACCTTAAAGTCTAC